TAAATTAAAAGCTGAGAACAAAACACAATTGTAAGTTAAAACAATATAAAATGTCAAAAATATGGCACAAGTGTGTTTCCTGTAGGATCATCCTCTACAGAAACTCGCAAGACTCAACGGTTTGCTGGGGCTTCAGCTCATAGAGTAGGAGTAGGAACGCCTCTCCTTCTCGCCTCACCCAAAGCGGGACAATTCTTTGGATGATTTTCTTAAAACAGACTCTACGTGACATGGGAGTTATGGCACTGGAGAAAAGTAAATTTATTTTCTACATGAAAGTCATAACGATGCCACGCCTATTATTACTGACGGGGTAGACAAACTACTTAAAGTCTCCACACACCATAACTATAGTCTTATTACGTCATGAAAACTTTAGGAACCTAGAAGTAAATTAGAATTAACGTGGTTTCTCTTGAAATAGGTTTTCTGATATTTCCTTCTACGGAATTTGCATAATAAAGTTCAAGTATACTACCAATACAGTAACGCTAATGTTATAATGTCTTTTCCACAATGATAACAAAATTATTAAAAGCATCTGTTAAGAATGAAGTCTTGAGTACGAAGTCCTTTACTGTCACGTATTGAGTTGTTTTCCTAAGCTGTGCTTTAATATTGATGACTCTACTTTGGTTCCAAAATCACCTCAAACGAAATAGGTCAAGGTTTAACACATTTTAATCTACAGATTCAAAATACTTAATCGGCTTTAAGTATACTTTGTGTACAGAACATATCCTAACAAACACATGAAATCAAAAAGATACACAAACAAAGTCCACATCAGGAAGAAAATACAAAACGTCTGCCTATAAAACATACAGGCTTCTAGTTAACAAGGCACACGCAGCCCTGAGAAGCGGAGCTTATCTACGAGAGAACACAAAACGTACGGACCGTTAACAGTCCGTATCTCCCACGATACATGCAAGTTTGTCGATTACAACCAACTATTACATGGAAACTATTACCTACAACAGTCTACAGATGTTTCCGACTGCGAAACTAACTGCTTTTTGTCTTGTCTGCCGTTCGTTTAATAGTTTGTTTAGTTCCAAGAAAGAACGTTTTGCTTCTTTACGTCATACGGATTCTGTTAAGGAAAGTTAATTGAATTCCTTAAGATTTTTCCAAGTTGAAGGTAACTTTGTGTCGATATTTGGTTGTCTTTTAATCCGTAATCAGAGGTCTATACAAAAAATATGTTTAAGTTAATTGGACACCTCATTAAACTGTGAAACACCGCGAGGACACCGGTGACCGCAAACTATTGTTCTTTAATTGTGTCTATAATGACGGTACTCAAAGGGTTAAAAACAAAACTGTAGATAAATTGAGTTAATATTGTAACACCTTCAAGTTCTTCCTTACGAACTAGAGGCATAATGTTATGCAGTAGGTAACTAATAATGCTGAAGCGAATGCACTTCAAACGTCTTGAAATTGTAATCAGAAATAGAGCATAATTTACATAAAGTCATATAGTCATAACATCGTTGTACCAGGAATTCATAACACGAGGCTGTAATAAGCTCATGCTCTGTATGTCGTCACAATTGGCGCCGAGCGCTCTCGAGCGAATAAATCTACGCATACTTATCCATGCTACTAGACGTCTGAGAAGCTTGCGTAACGAATTCGCGTCTATTTATTGCTATTAGCTCTCTCTGAGTCATGACACCCTGGTATTAGCATGTCGTCTTTGTGAATTTGTCTTAATAGCATCATAATTTTATTCGTTGTTGATGTGTTAGTAATTGAGGATGTATTCTATTTAGTTAAGTTCAGTAGAAACCTTACAAAAAATTACTAATATGCAGCTCTGGATAATTTCGGGTGTCATCTGACTGATGCCCGGCCATATGAGAAGAATACGTCTTAGAAGATATTGTGGGATTATAGTATTGTTTCGTTTAGTAAATTCATGGCTATCAATTGTAAACTAACAAAGCAATCAGTAGCATCGTTCATAAAAAGTTTAAAAAGTTCCCCCTGACGAATGATACCTGTTAAATTTCACATCAATCAAATTATTTTAGAAGTTGACTATGGTGATTGCCACTTATAGCTTACCATTGTTTCTTTTGTGGTCCACTAAAGAAAATAATAAAGTTTATAACAGCTCTATTTCTTAGTTTAGGGATACTTCAGATTAGACGAGGATCGATCTCACATCATAAAACGTGGACTGATAAATTTTGACACTTAAAAGATCCATCTAAATACATTATTATATATAACATATATGAATGTGTGAGTGTTTTTTTTTGAATACGATGTTATGAATATTCAGCGTTATACAATTTTCATTTGAATAGGTTTTATCAAAGGCACCAAGTCCACGACAATGCTTTGTGATTAAGAGTACAGTAATGAAATAAGATAATGGAAACCGTTGAATGTTTAAAATACAAAGTGGAATAGTCTCACACCGTCGTTAATTATGCTCTAGAAATAATCAACAGAAAGGGAAGTGAATTTAACTATAATGAGTTTCTATGGTAACTATTTCTTGAACATTGTACTGTTGAGTCCAGTCACTTAGGTAGACAATGTTCAGATTGAAAGTGATCACGGAAGTTCCTACTTCTGGTGCCGTAATGTAATGATAAACACGATTCAATAAAATAACATTGTTATGTTTGCATATCGCTTTGGGGAACAAATAGTTAAAATCCCCTAAGATCGGAAAAGGAGGATCCTCCGACCAGGCGAGGTAATTGTACCTGGCGGGCTTTCTTCCCAACAGTTGTTCGTTGGGATTTTCTATCCGTGTCAATTCGAATGTGAACTTCACATGTGCGATGTAGGATTTTGTGACGTCATTCGTTGATTTCTTTTCATTGATATGTGGGTGAGTTGTCACATCGCTGTCTCCCTCATCATCATAGCTACATAAACAATAGAAGTTCTTGAAAAATGATTACTTACTTGTGTTTTCACTATTGGTGGGTATCAGATAAATTTGTAAATGAACTTAATGTACATTTCTGCAAAACTGTTAGCGAAATAATAAGTATACATCGTGCATTATAATAGACACTTACTCAAAATCACTATAAAAATCTCATAGTTAAAATTCGCCTGGAAAACAACCTTAACAAGGCATTTATCAAAAGACGTGTTTACGAAAAATGTAGTTGTCGGGAGCCATTGTATGTTTCTGATTGATGGTTCCACATCAATTCCGTTGCTTGAACCTTCTCGCTTTTATTCCAAACTGGTACAATTTCGTATTTTCTTTTTTTGTAATGTCATGTGATAATTACGTACTGGTGGCCAATGACGAAGGGTGAATCTTGGTAGCTGATGTTTTTTTTTTGTAGTATTTGTATGTAAGTGCTGTTGACATCTATTTATTCGTTAAGTACATATCGGTTACTGATTTGTATAAGTTTTGGACTTAATTTTGGAATTTTATAGGCACTATTTGAATTGTAATAATTATTTAATGTACCTCTATATCTAATTATCTACCATTAATTAAAACACGATGGTGATAAATTATATATTTTTTAGTTATAACACTATTATTTTCCAATTAAAACTGCCGTTGGCCGAGTGGTCGCAAGTGCGACTGCCGGGCAAGGGGTCTCGAGTTCGATTCCTGGGTCGGGTAAAGTATTACTCGGTTTTTAAAAATCTCAGTAGTAGCATGCAGTCTGGAAATGTGCCCGGTATATGGCAATAGGTCACCCCCTATTACATGGGACTCATAACATAGATAGTGAAAAGTGGGGGTTACATTGTACAGTGGCATTAAGTGCCGTAATGTGCACCTCTGGCCTATCCCTTCAGGGATAAAAAGGCGTGATGTTATGTTATGTATTTTCCAATTAAAACTTTATCATAAAGTAGGTACTTACAGGGAAATTCTCTATTTTATTATTACCGAACACTTAATGAAAGCTCTTACTCGCCCACGAGCTACTCAATTAAATTATATTATCTATAAATGGTATACGTGATATCCACTCGTACATAGCTCTCATCGGTAGGGTTGTCACTTTAATGTCAGATATACGTTCCGGTTATAATTACCTGGTTGGGGATAAGTTATTTATTTGTTGTATACCCATTATATCAGCACCTAGGTAGATAAATATCTGTTTAAAAGGTTCTTCTTCTAATGCTGTTATGCCGTATTGACATAATTAATTCAACCCCTATATTCTGTGTCATGAAAGTTTAGTAGTTTAATGAAAGTATCACACTAAATCGTAAATAGAAAAATTTGACAACCCTATGTTAAACTGACCATTGACACATAATCCATGTCCAATGTCAAGAGTCAAACGCCTAAACGGTGATTGGTCAGCGGCGACTCAAAGCTCGCAAATATGCGCTTGCGCAACTACGTCATTACGCGTTGACGCCGTCGATGCAGTGTCGATTGTCGCTATTGACGGGTCGTGATCATAGTATGTAACAAACTAACGACCACACATAGAGTTTGGCTACTTATTTACACGATTAGAACGTTCCGTTACTTGACTAAAATACTGATTAGACTGGCTTACATCAAGGCAAAGTTTTTTGTAATAATATAACATAACATAACATCATAACATTACGCCTATTGTCCCCGAAGAGGTAGGCAGAAGTGCACACAGAAGTAACACCCACTTTTCACTATTTATGTTTTGAGTACCATGTAATAGGGGGTGAGCCTATTGCCATGTACCGGGCATAATTCCAGACTCCGTGCTACTAATGAGAATTTAAACAAAAACCCAGTAATACTTTACTCGACTCGGGAATAGAACTCTAGATCCCTTGCCCGACAGTCGCACTTGCGACCATTTGGCCAACGAGGCAGTATTTTTTTTTTTTGATAAATTTCTTCCATAATTAATTGACAGACTCTTTGTTAATAAACACAAAATAGTTAATTTATGATCCTCACACAGATTCCCAAAATGCGTTGATGATTTTCTTAACCTCTTCACATATTAACCTTTATCGTCAATAACTTAAAGTATATTTTCCTTTTGCAGATGATGACGAAGAATGCGGTGCACTATCCGAAGGTTCAGAGACATCAGAATGCGGTCGGGCGGATACAGACGACGAGGGTATTGAAAGAGATTCGGAGCCTGCTCCGAGAAGACGGCGCCGGCGTAGACGGTTTATGCTCAAAGATGTCATAGAGGTAAGAATAGATAAGAAAGAAGATGATTATTTTTGGGTGAAGAAATCATCACGATTTATGCCCTTTTCCAACACATTCGTTAAGGCTTTCTTCAAGATTTTTAATCTAGTTTAGGCTCCTTAGTTCCATTTTGTGCCCTAAGCACATAGTCCTTCCACATAAATTGTGGTCTTCCAACGTATTTTTTTCTATCGGTTCAGAATTCAGGTTCATAGATCTCAATTCGAAAATCATTAAGATAAGTATTGAACGTTTATCGACATATTAGTCTTAATCGACTATCTAAGTATTTTCTCAGAACAGATTTCCTAAAGTGGTAACATAATATAGCCACTTTATATCTTCCTAGTAGCGACGAAAATTCAAAGATTTCAATCTGATAAGGTTTCAAGTCGGTTCATAAAGTTCATTTCGGAGTATCTTTATCCATATTTCCTTTTTTTTTGATAATGTAGTGAAGGTATCCTCTCTACTTTCTCCAAACCTTATCTAAATAATATGGATCGGTGTTCATTCACCATATGGGAATGATAAAAGCTGAAGTGTTACTTACTAGTTTATTTCTATCAACTGGATGTGTAACATGAGTTTTAGAGGGTTTCACAGATAAACTGAGCGTAGAGATAATATTTTGGAGATAATTCCGTGAAGGGTTTATGATAACTTATCTAATAGAAAGTTTTATGAATTTAATTAAGTGAGTTTGTTTAGGCACATATTTCTACAATTGTTACCAAATATTACTAGGATTTTCTACTGTATGGAAATATGAAATAACAATAATCATTTGTTCATTTAATTAATTTCTATGTGTGCAGCTAGTATCTAGTCTGAATAAGTAGAAATTAGAAAACCTTACGAATGAGTATAAATAATTTTCCATTTGTGTAGAAGACAAGACCTTAGCAAACTACATCTACTACTTTACTTTAAAAAAAATCGTTGCCCCACACTAGGATTTTCTCCTGTATCGTGGGTGCGTTTACGAACATACAAGTTCACATGCACATGACACCCAGACCCGGAACAACAATTTGTGAATCACACAAAGAGTTGCTCCGTGCAGGAACCGAAACCGCGAAACGTTGCACAGCAGCCAATTGCCAGCCACCGCACCTACCGTGCCATCAGCCAGCCACCTCTAGAGCTACTAGATCAACGAGATCGTAAAATAGAGATTATTTTAATTGAACCATAAAACTTTCCATCTCCCCTATCATCATCATCATCAACAGCCTGTAAATGCTCACTGCTGAGCAAAGCCTCTTCTCCCACGGAGAAGGCTTGAGCATTAATCACCACGCTTGCTCAATGCGGGTTGGCGATTACAAACTTACAATTAGAAATTATAAGTCCAGGTTTTCTCACGATGTATTCCTTCACCGTTCGTCAGTGGTGTCTAGATAATCTTAGAAAGTACATATAACTCGGAAAAAGGCACTTTGGTACTTGCCGTTGGTATGTTTCGAACCTGTACCCTCATGCATGAGAAGCGGGCGTCTTAAACCTCCGGGCCACCACGACATAACCTCCGGGCCACCACGACATGTATCCCACAGCTCATCATACGACATCTTCCCTATAATCTACCTCTAGACTAATACAAAAAAGTTGAACGGAAGTTCACCAAAAAAGACACCTTGCCCCTTTCTACAACATAATATGAATTAAGGCCACTATTATTACACAAGTACAAGTATTTCCTCCTGCCCTTTATCTGAGTGACACTTATATGACGTTGCGTCACTTTTAATGGTGTACTGTCATCTGCTTTCTCCTTCGTATTAGGAAGTTATTAGAATTACCTGCCGTTATAGGCCTGATGCACTTGTTAAGTGAATCCGATGGTATTAGGGTGTGTTCATATGTGCGGTTACTGTTGTGGTTTCTTTTTGTTTTTAGTCAGTGAATTTTTTAATGATTTATTGAGCTTAGGAAATGTCTTGTAATCTCATTGAGATATCGTGACAATTGATGATGGTTAGGTTGATGAATTGAGATAGCTACTTACAATTTTTTGGTGAAAAATTTTTTATTACGAACATTAATCTTTTTGAAATTTTGAGTCATACATAGTAGTCATTTCTTGTTTTTAGTATACATACAATAAAACATGAACAGCCTTTATTTATTTTTTCTAATTAAAATTAGATAAGTATTTTAGACTACATCAAACACATATTACTGAATCACAAACGGTGAACTCTACGCTCTTACGCGTTACGCTCCAGTCTACTGAGACCCTTACAAATTATAATTCTTACGTAACAAGATAAGTATTGATCTCAAATTTCTATTAGTTTGTTTTACGAGCGCTGTTAATACATGAAACGTTGTCATTAAGCAGGTAATTAACCATTAAAATAAGGTTTTTAACCAATATTGACTATTACGAAATTGTATAATTATTGTGATATCAGAACACATATGGATACTAATACTAATGGATATTAGCTGTTGCATCATAATTATGGTATACGTTTTTTAAGTGTTTATTTTCAAGTTAAAGTTTATGATTTTCTCGGTTTTTGACGATTTTGTGTTGATAGAGATATAGAAAATGTTTCAGCAATTTGTTGAATAGTTGAATCTATCGATTTATTATTATTCATTAATATTTCTGTATTGTTTTAAAAATGCCTCGTTGGCTAGTTAGTAGTCACAAGTGCGACTACCGGGCAAGGGGTCTTGGCTTCGATTCCTGGGTCGGGCAAAGTATTACTGGGTTTAAAAAAATCTCAGTAGTAGCACGGAGTCTAGAAATATGCCCGGTATATGGCAATAGGCTCACCCCCTATTACATAACATAAATAGTGAAAAGTGAGAGTTACTTCTGTGTGCACCTCTGCCTACGCCTTCGGGGATAAGAGGCATGATGTTTTGTTATGTTATGTTTTAAAAATAAGGAATATGAAGATGTGTAGATTATAATTATTTTCAAGAAGAATATTGTCGTTTACAAAATGCCTTTCCAAATCGGATAGGACGTTCGGATGTTCAAAGACTAGTCTCAGAAACAGCTAAAGAAATCTCTTCAACTTTACCATAGTTCATAACGTATATAGATTGAAGATTGTTGCAAACTAATTATTCAAAGTGTATAAAAAATATAATTACAGACTTCAAACTCAATTAGGTAAAAAATAGAACATAAATTACACTGAATTTCACGTAGTATGCTTACGTTATAATTGTTGCTCGTAAATTAACATTCTGTGTCGAGAGCGCTAATTATTGGATTTGTTGTTAAATCATGCGGTAAATTGATGGGCACCTATTTAGTATTTGTAATACCTAAATTATTTTTACCTCTCGCGTGTTTCTCGTACACCCGTGTGTACGAGAGAGTTGAGTGCCCATCGCGCAATTGTACACACGGGTGTACGAGAAACGCGCGTTTACGCGTGTGTATGAGAGGCGCGCGAAAGGTAATTCATAACTTGGACACTAATCATTTGGCACCAATCATTTTTCATCGATTTTATTATCATTTGTTGATAGTCAAGTTGTCGTTCGACGCGGTGGACGTCTTCCGGCTGTTGATGATGATGATTTTAGACATTCCTAATTTCAGATTCATTCTTTTATATACAGTTTCGAAAATGAGAAACATTATTTAGTTTTTGAATGGTTACTGAGCTTGAACTTAAGACAGAATATAAATACAGGAGGTACATTATAACTAATACATATTTACATAGGGACAATGTTGACAACAGAGAATTTGCATTCTATGTGAATTTCCTGATGATTAAGCTATAAATGTGTAATTAAAATCGTTAAGGAATCAAGTAAAGTTTCCCACTATTGTTTGTTTATAGTATTAGTTAAGGAGTTGGATATCAGACCTGGTAGAAATTTAATCCTTTTAATGTTAAAATATAAGTTTGTTTCATTTTGTTTTTACTGACGAATTCTTTAAAAAAATATTAGATATCTTTTAGCAATATTTATACTATACAGATAACAAAACTGATCTACCTACAGACATAATAAGTATTACAGCCAATCACCCATAAACCCTTTAAAGTCTTAGAAAGATAAAAAAGGTCCTTCCACGCGAGATATGTGCACACTTCAGCGTGGATGGGAACCGCAATTTCCTCGTTTCTTTAGTTCGCTCTCTTAGTGAGTGTTGGGTGGGTTTGGGCGAAGTGGGTTAGTGGGTCAAGACGGGACTCATCAATAGTAAATGCCTGGACTTCTACTTTTACCACATTCGTTTGCTGTATCAGTAAATTAGTGCTCCTAATAGAACTGAAGTAGTGAACGTTTTACGCAGAAGTGGTGGTTTTTTATTCTTATGACGGTAGCTTTCGGATTTTCTCTAATGTCGTAGGTCCATTTATAAACGATCACATTTTACCTAAAAAGCCAGGAACAATAATTTTGTGGATCACGCGCAGCTGTAGCCGGTTACTCAGCACTGTGCCAATCGTGGTGACATGCAGTTTTGTTTTTTTGATTTTGAGACTGTACTAAGTTATTTGGATGTGAGCTATAAAACAATGTTTTCATATTTACTGACTGCCTCGTTGGCCGAGTGGTTGTAAGTGCGACTGCTAGGGCAAGAGGTCTCGAGTTCGATTCCTGGGTCGCGCAAAGTATTAGGTACTGGTTTAAAAAAAATTCTGTAGTAGCACGGAGTCTGGAATTGTGCCCGGTGTATGGCAATAGGCTCACCCCCTATTACACGGGACTCATAACATAAATAGTGAAAAGTGGGTGATACTGTGTTACATTGTACAGTGGCATACTGTACACGTCTGCCTACCCCTTCGGGAGGAAGATGCCGTGATGTTATGTTATGTTTTCATATTTATATTCATGAAACATATCAGAGGAACTAACTTCAGTTAAGGAAAGACCATGAGAAAGAATGATTCACAAACATGTAAAGTAGTACTTAATATATTTACAATTATACATACATTTCATTGATTAACTTTTAATATTACACTTTATTTACAACGGCTAAAAATGCACGATAGCTTAGAGTGATAGGTTCGTTGTTCTAAAAATATGAAATTCTTCAATAATCAATACTCGTGGAGGATTAAATGTCATTGGCAGGGATTATGTGACGAAACAGTCTTGATTGCTATCGCACCTTACATATTTGTATTAATAAATTAATTACTTAGATTTAGATATTTTAGCAATACGAGAAAACAATTTGGCGACTGGGCTTCACCCAGTTGTACAGTCTCTTTTCTTTGTGCCTTTAGGCTTAACTACTCTGTCTCCTGCAGTAATTCACCGAGGGAAGTGGAAACTATCGTTTTTTTTCTTCTCCTCTTATAATATCTTCTGATTCACTTCGTTGCGGGAACCAAGACAGTTACTCATGTCCCTGGGACGCGCCGGTCTTCAGTGTTCCCGTGTTTTCATGGTTGTATCTACTGTAGATCCTGGCTTACAGGAGTTGCAGCGGTTTTGGGAGGTTGTGGCGGGCTTGGCCCATTAAAAAAATATACGAGAAAACAAGTAAATTGATATGTAAATTATGAATTTTGCATTACTACAAGCAAAAATATTATAACTTGGACCTAAGGCCTTAGTACGATTTTCATTTACGTTTTAAATATTCGAAACGAGTATGCGTTCGGCACTCTGATTGGCCGGCACCAATGAAGCAACCAATCACAGCGCCGAACGCGTACTCGTAACAATTACTTTAAACGTAAAATATACTCGTACTAAGTCCTCTGTTGTCTGCTTCGAGTGTTTCGTGTAATGTAAATGACGTATGATGATGGCCATGATGTATGTATAGAGCTATAGGATGGTTTCCTTTTGCATAATCACCTAACATGCATTACCTATCTTTTTTTTATGGCATAAGCCGGTACACGAGCAGAAGGATCACCTGATGGTAAGCAATCGGCGTCGCCCATGGACACCTGGAACACCAGAGGCTTTACAAGTGCGTTACCGGCCTTTTGGGGATTAGGGGTTTGAGGATCGTTGGGGATTCAGGAATTGGGGAAATTGGGGAAGGAGAGAGTAATTGGGCCTCCGGTAACCTCACTCACATCACGAAACACAACGCAAGCGTTGCTTCACGTCGGTTTTCTGTGAGGCCGTGGTAGCACTCCGGTCGAGCCGGCCCATTCGTGCCGAAGCATGGCTCTCCCACACATCTTATAAATAAGTGCCTTAACCCCTTAAAGGAATAAAAAGTTCGGTGATTACAATTATAATCTATTAATCTGTATCATAATCCTCCAGTTAGATCCTGATCATTCGTATTCTGTACAATAATTCATTGTTTACTCAAGATTTATAGATTTGAGGTGACGTTACTATAATAATAGTAATGTGGGTGTCTGTCTGTCTTTTGGCTCGTTATTATCTTGTCGTTGGTTCGGTGCCAGGACAAAGGCGTCTTGCGAAAGTGGTCGTGTTTGCCCCCATTGCCCCTAACGCCCTTGACATGTTGAATCATGTTGGCGGACAAAGGACGGTAAATTTGACTTACTGACGACTTGATACTGTAGTCTCAAGTAGTGTTTCGTTGTTTCTAACACAATATCTAGATATATATAGTACCTACCTACTTCATAAAGTGATGAGTAGTAATTGGTATCCGGATTTCATTTTCATTACAACTTGTTACTTGTGTTTTTTTTATGGTATAAGCCAGTAAATGAGCATACGGATCACCTGATGATAAGCAATCAGCGCCATCCATGGACACCTGGACCACCAGAGGCGTTACAAGTACATTACCAGCCTTTTGGGATTAGAAATTTGAGGATTGCTGGAGATTGGAGAAGGGGGCGCTGGGGGGGGGGGGGCAATTGGGCCTCTGGTAACCTCACTAATACGACAAAACACAATGCAAGCGTTGTTGCACGTCGGTTTTCTGCTCGACCGTGGTGTCACTCTGGTCCAGCCGGCCCATTCGTGCCGAAGCATGGCTCTCCCACACGTATATTGTGTTCCTCGAATTTCGGAATTTTCAGATCCTCTCTTCATAAAAGGGATTGTCATAATCGTCTCCACATTTGGCAGGCATGTTCGCTGTTTAAAATGTTCAAGTTCAGAAGTGTAGTTCCTTATTCGGATTTTACGATACCAACAGCTTCGGGCTTCCTATTGGTTGGAAGAGCAGGAGAGGTAAAAATGTATTTTGTTTCAACCGCCACACACTACCTTTATTGAAATTACACGTAGTTGTGAATATATTCACAACTCCAAAGGCCTATGTGACCCACTTCACAATTTGTGCGTAATTCTATACGTCTGTACATTATCATTGCCATATGCAATGTCGAATTGCGTACGACCCAATCTGATACCATTATAATTGACATATAAGTACTTAGGCAACTATTTGTAAAACATGCGAAAATTAATACAAGTCTGTGATGTCAATGGGTTTTCGGAAGGTGTTGTCATTACATTTGTTGAGAACTGACCAATGATTATAAAGAGGGTTTTTGGGTTCGATATTTTATCAAGTGTTGCTTTTGACTGCCTGGCAATGGGTTTCAGGCTCGATTTGCGGGTCGGGCAAAGTATTATTGGGTTTTTAAAAAAATCTCAGTAATAGCACGGAGTCTGGAATTATCCCCGGTATATGGCAATAGGCTCACCCTCTATTACATGGGACTCATAACATAGTGAAAAGTGGGTGTTACATTGTAGAATGGTATAATGTGCACCTCTGCCTACCCCTTCGGGGATAAAAAGCGAGATGTTTTATTGTATGTTACTTTTCTTTAGAAATATGTAGCATAGAATCTAACCTTTTGATCCGTTGTATTATATGCACATGCTTAAAATATGCAAGTATACATAGACCAGTAACTAAACTACATTCACACGACTCCATTTGCAAACACAAGCGTTCATGGAGGGCGTCGTCCATTCAGAACAGCTTGCCCGGGAACGTGCGCACATTATCTATGAGCGACGACACTCAACAGTTATCCCAACTAATATTTAACTATCTAGTTATGAACGATAAGTAAATATTGCGCTTTGAAATGATAATATTATGAGATCACACCTGTTAATCTATTAAAGAAGATAATACAAGCATTCTCCGACATTTTTGTTCAATTTTATCCACTGTTCTTTCTAGTCCACGTAGTAGGTATTGCACCTAGGGGTACTTAAAATTTCGAGTAGGTTTGTATGAGCATCTGATGCTCTTATAGATGCTAATAGTAGACACCGGGGTGGTTTTAATAAGGCTAAAATCCCATACTTCCTATTCTTTTTCTCGCTTGACACCTTTTGAAGGTATCTTCCGTATTAAACCTAGGTTCTTCAAGATTGTCAGCGCGTTTCGGTCAAACGCACCGTACATACATTCTTAGACCTAGGTTCTTGTCGCGGAGAACCTAACGGGTAACCGGGGCTCCGGCTCGACGTGCAGGAGAAGGAACGGGGTGGTTTTTAGTCAGTAAGAGTCTGACACTCCCTTCCACCTCACCCAGCCGGGAGCAGTCATTCGATGATTTTCCCCCCTTAAAAAAAAGACCTAGGTTCTTCAAGATGTCAGTGCGTTTCAGTCCAACGCACTTTAGTATCTTGATGTAGGAGGCTCCATTCGTCAGGTAATCCATCATTGGATCCTATACGTCAATTAAGTACCGAACATTTGATTGCCATAATAATTTACTTATATGCACATTTCGTTAGCAAAATATGCGAGTCTACTACTTGTGTGTGGGCTAGACCTTTTTAATGGTCCTTTTTGCAGTTCTTTGTAGTTTTAATGGTTTTGAAGTATACTTGTTACAATGATGTCTTATTCCGTAGTTAGCTGTGGAAATGTAACTTTTGCACAGTCTTCTCAAAGTAATTCACCAAGGGAAGTGGAAACTATAGTTTTTTCTTCTTCTCCTCTTATAATATCTTCTGATTCACTTCGTTGCGGGAACCAAGACAGTTACTCATGTCCCTGGGACGCGCCGGACTTCAATGTTCCGGTGTTTTCATGGTTGTATCTACTGTAGATCCTGGCTTACAGGAGTTGCAGCGGTTTTGGAAGGCTGTGGCGGGCTTGTCCCATAAAAAAAAAGCCTTCCCAAAGTGCTACCGGGGGATCTTCATGATATAAAGATAGACGAGCAATACCTATTTGGCATCCAAAGTTATTCCTATTGGCGTCCAACAGTCTAGAGTGCATAGAAATAAAATGCGAAATAATAAACTGATTAGATAACACTTGACTAATAAAAATAATCTCTTCTTTATCTTAATAAATATGGACAGCTAGCATTATCGTGCAAAATTAAAATATTAATCATACTGATGTCATTATTTCACGTTTTAGTTCTATGACCACATTTCAAGATGGAAAATCTGTATAACGTCATATTTGTTATTCCTCAAAGGGGAAGAGGTTATCTTACTATACTTAGGTAACATGTCTGACTTTCGTCAGTTGTTTTAACCATGTTTAATTACCTCTATATTAGATCTAATAATATATGGTGTCGTGGTGGCCTAGATGTTTAAGACGCCCACTTCTCATGCATGAGGGTGCGGGTTCGAAACCTACCAACGGCAAGTACCAATGTGACTTTTTCCGAGTTATATGTACTTTCTAAGATTATTTAGACACCACTGACAAACGGTGAAGGAAATCTGGACTTATAATTTCTAATTATAAGTTTGAAATCGCCAACCCGCATTGAGCAAGCGTGGTGATTAATGCTTTAACCTTCTCCGTGTGAGAAGAGGCTTTGTTCAGCAGTGGGCATTTATAGGCTGTTGATGATGATGATGATGATGATGAATATATTGGGTCAACTCGTCCTTTACCAAACACCAGAATTATTTATCATTACCGTGCGTTTTATTTCTAAATATATTATTAATGCCTATATGAAAATGCACCTGTTTAAGTATCTATCTAATTTTTCTTTTCAGCGCTGCGTCTGGCACTGTGGCGGCGGCGGGCGCTGTGCCCGCGAAGCTGCTGCAGCGCACTACCGCGCTGTATGTCGCGCCCTCGTCGCTGAAGCGCTAGAACTGGCCTCCTTCCTCGCGAGGGTTCGGGTCGGAGGAGCAAGGGACATGGGAGCCGCTGAGGACTCCGCCGCGCATCTCGACACGCTACGGTTTTCAGACTGGGTGAGACCTTAGAATAGCATTGATGACCTATAGAAGTTTAATAAGACCTCACACTAATAATGCGGTTTCCATGGTGTCAGAAGTTCTTTCGGACTTGTTTAATGTAGGCACTGAGAAGGCTGAGTAAAAATTAAAATTAATTTTAGGAAAACGAAAAAGTAATAATTGACGAATAGACCAATAGACCGACAGTATAGGTTATTGAACTATTATAAATCTATCCATTCGAAAATATTACTTAAAATACATACAATTTAGCCTGTCATGAGTAGACTAGAGACCACCAACACAGGGTCTAATTCGCTAAACTATTATTATCGCGAACGAATTCCCAAAGAAAGGCATGCAGATTGTTGTGCGTTGGTTAATGCAACCGCGATGCATTATTAATGTTACTAGCTATTCTCAAGTAATTCGCTATAGGATAGATAGTGTTCGCTATACAAACAAGCGACACGAAGCGATCATTGAAAAAAATAATTATTAAAAGGCGACATACGTCCATAAAAAGTATTTAAATGTCTAAACATTCATTAAAGTGCTAGCCCGATAAATGACTATCTCACCACAAAGTTAGTACCTAAAAATCGCTAAACGCGCCTCTCTTAACAATATAGTCTCAGCTTAGTATACGCGTAAATATTTATGGCGCTCAAGCCTAGTAATGAGAATTCTTGTGCATAATATATGCAAGGTATTTATGCCTACTTTTTAGCTTTATTCGCTATCTCTGACTGCATGAAAACTGGAGCTATTCAGAGACTATTCAGAGATTCTTATTATGTCATGTTATATATTGTGGTGGTAAAATAGGGACCGTTGTTATTCGACAATAGATCTATTTGTCAATAATAATAAAATGTTTAGTAATATTAGATTAAAATCAAACTTTATGACACTTATGAAACTTCACTCAAAACTCTAACTCCTTGGGGTTTAAAAAATCTATATCTACTTATATGCTTTGTTAACCTACTTGTACATAGGTAATTCATTCAATAATTTCACTTAAAAATGATCAGAATGAAAACAAACAACTAATGCTTTTATTTACTTGCATAATCTAACCATCTCCTATTGTTAACTAACATTTACGTATAACTAACCCTGTGACATATTTGTAACACGTTATTATTTCTAATTGTAGTCAAACCGAAGGATATGGAGAGCATTACAAGTACGTAGAAAGGAAGACTGATCGTAAAGTTACCTATTTGCTTATAATTTGTAAATATCTAATATTTGTCCTTGTAAAATTATTGTGAGGTGTAGTCAATGATAGATTTACCTAGAATGCATGCTTAAATAGATGTCGCATAGAACACCATTTCAATTTAACTACATACCATAGGTTATAAGTTAATGTTTTGCATGTCAAGGCTTCCTTGCAAGCGGATATTTAATTGAAATACCTATCTATTATATATTGGTAATTCCTAATTTTGTAACACTCCAAATTATTTCAAAAACTCTCATTAATTTAATTAGAAACCCGTTAAATCTAAATTGTATATGAATTCAAAAGCTTCTAGCAAACAGAGTAAAGTAAACGCCTGCAGAAACTCTCATAGCAAGAACGCGGCACACAACTAATTGCATTTAAAATTTTTCAGGCGCGGTTTTGGATGCAAGTCATCGGAGAGTTACGGATGGGTGTAAAATTAAAGAAAGTAAATTATTCAAGGACACCAATAGAGTACGAGTTAACGCCGTACGAAATATTAATGGACGACATTAGGTCCAGGAGATACACGCTTAGGAAAGTTGACGGCGCGATACCTCCAAGGTAAGGACAAATTTGTAATGATTTTTTTATGTTTTACCGATATTTTATCTGTCAAATTGGTTTTAATGATTGTGAATATTGCATATTTATTTTATCCCAACCTAATTTGGCAAGGTACGCTGTAATAATACAGTAAAAATACATACTTAGTCGAATCATAGTCTTACCAAATGATAATGACAAATATGTACTTGTTTATTTTAATTTAGGGTCTTTTTCATGTTAATAAAACCTTGATTTATTTACAGTGTAAAGAAAGACGCTCATGCAATGATACTTGAGTTCATTAGAAGTCGACCTCCACTCAAAAAGGTAAGAAAATTATTCTTTAATACTTATCCTACCTGCTTGCACAAAATTGTAATTTAAAATGTCAATAATAAACTTTTATTAGTGGTAATAAAAGTTTATTATTGACATTAATGTGGATTAATAACATAAATATATATTATTATCAGGCGTCAGACCGCAAGTTGCCGCCACCCCGCCGAGAAGTAACACCAAGAGAGAAACTCCTCGCGTCCATCCAAGTGGGGAGGCAACTCCGACCCACTCCTTACTCCAGGAGACTATGTAAGTACCCCTCTATAAGTGTTTCAGGTTTATAGATCCAACTATGAACTTTCACATTGGCACTGTCATTCATCTCAAGAAACGTATTTTATGTTTTTAAATCCCTTTAGGTATATCATCCCTTTGTTCTATCCTTTTCTCATCCTAGCTCCTAACCCAACAATCTGTTCCAGATCCTTTACTATGTTCAAGCCCAAATCATATGCCAGAAATTGAACAAAACAAGTCAAAACTCCGAAGTTATTTAGTAATTATCATACAAAAACAATCAATTATCCCTTTTTGTGTTCTAGTATTTGTTACTGTATCAGTAATAACGATATTTGTGAATTTACATCTCAGAAGATTGTGTTAATGTCATTCGTACCCATTAAAATTTTAGCGCCTTCTAAAAAGCTGTGAGCACGTAGTAGTTGCTACACTTTGCTGTTAAAATATGGCAGGCGATGATGGGTTAAATTATTTATAGTCGTGGTCATGTAAATACTCTGTCTTCTTTTAATTTCTTTATAAATACATCGTTTTATAGTTTTTTTTTTATAAATACATCGTAGTTCACAAGTTCATTTGAAGTGAAATATTACATATTTTAATTTAAATATTATTTGTCTTATTGACTCTACTTTAATTGCTTCATAGATTATTTTAAAATTTTATTTTCTTCTATAGCCATTTAACTGTCAGATATTACGAATACTTCTATTAGTATTACCAATAAAGTATTCGAAAAACTCACTTTATTGCGTAAATTGAAAGCTTTTTGTACGATACTCGTTGCATCACGAAGGTAAGAACAATATAGTTATAGTACCTTAACATATTTCATACTATGTATGGTGTGTGTGTCGTTCTAGTTTCGTAACATATATCAGTACACAAACTACACAATAGTTCGGTTGCGTACTTTATGGGCCTCGTGATAGCACGTGGGGTTTGTTAGGCGATAATGTGATCACAATTTTACAGGATTTGTTGTAAGAATGACATCTAAACTCTTTTATTCAATTTCAAGTCTATTTATATAGAGGTCTTGGTCTGAGTTACGTAGAAGTTCTTGATCATTCTTCTTCAAACAACTACATTTTGGAACGAGCGTATTTCGCTGACATGCTTTCCAGTGTACTAATTGAAACAAAACCTTTTACTTGGACTTGTTACCTCAAAATGGCAATTTACTGCCCTCAATTTATTTTAATCTTATATTAGTCCTTCTAAAGTTAATCAAGTACTTTGACGACATGTATGAAGACATAATATATGTACAATGTTACATGAGAAATATTGGCGTCCCGGATCCTCTATTTGTACTAGACTTTTATTGAGACGTGATTGATGAGGTTTTGATGTAGCTACTGTGGTAGATTGATCGTGTTTACTATTGGAGCTGCGGAGGCTGCAATAATACGTATAGCGTATAAATATAAAGAAAAAATATATTAATTTTATATTATGACGTCAACTACACTGCTGAGTAGTAGATATCATTTAGAAATAAGAATTATAGTTGGCCTGAACAGAAAATCGAATTCGAGAGCTCTTTATTTAACAGCTAAAGTAAAAGTCACTCAACTAGTAAGATTAAGATTCCTTTATCCAAAACACAGCCTGAAAAGTTAATTTTCATCTGTGTACTTTATTCATTTAATTCTATACATATATATATATATACCTGGTTAACTTAAGTTGTTATTCAAAATTGAGGTTTATTACCTATGTAATAAAACACTCACCTACTCCGTATCGTATAAACTACTACCGTAAGAAAATTGTCGCTATTTTATGACGGTACTTACTGTTTATGGTTTAATAAATATCAATGACCTTGGCATTTAGAAACATTTACAATAACATTGCTACATAATATAATGTGTGAGTTATTAGCTATTTTCCGGCCTTATTCGATTTAGGAGATTTCCCTCGAGTAGGTTTTGATCTAGGATGAATATAGAGATAAAAATCCTATGATATTACTTGAAAAGAAGCTTTCCAGTTCTGAACGAATTTCTCTCGACGATCTCCGGCCACCGAAGTGCGGGTCTGTGGAGGGTGAGCAAGAGTAGCTTGGAACCAGACCCGAGAGTATGGCGCGTCGCGTTCGGCGCGCGCCTCAAAGAGCCACCAGACCACCACAGATGGGGCCCAGTAGGGCTGATGCCGATTGCCGAGGGTCTGGCTCGAAGAGCAGGAGTAAGAACGGGGTGGTTTTTAGTCAGTAAAAGTCTTACCTCCCTCTCGCCTAACCAGGAGAACTGAAGAGATGATATACAGACCTCAAAAAAATAAACAAATAAAGTGCTGAACGAATTTAACACATTCTGGACCGATGTGAAATAGTTTCGGAGACTATTCATACTGTCAATGACCGCTCTTGGTTGGCAGTCTGGTACTCTGGTGCCCTGGATATCCCGTGCTATAGGATAAAAGTCAAGGCTCTAGGTATGCCAGGTCCTTTGGATATAGGACTCGATTATTTCTCTTTGCAAAAGAAAGTGATTGTATATTAAGTAGGTGTAATTATGATAATGATAGACAAATTATGTACTCTATTCGTGTATTGATTTGGCGCAATACCATAAGTTGTGAAAGGGAGTGAAAGGAAAATTAGCTTAGCAGGATTTTCTAATACGTACACCTGCTGGTTAGGCTCATTAATAATTTCATGTAGTTGTTAATTTGATTTAATTTTCATTCTTATCGTTATGACGCATCGTGAATAGATATTGTGTTATGTTGTCAATACTCAATATGTCACTTATTGCCCTTTCTACTCTCTCTATCAAAGAAAACTAGGCGTAAATAATAAAATATTACATAAAAAGTTTCGCTAGCGAAGAACTCATACAAAATTATGCAGACTGATACATCAGTCACAACCTATCCCACTAAAATTCACAAACCAAGAATATCATATAACTTCTGTGCTTAACGATCTCCAGACATTTTCTCGTCCACTTCGTATCCGCAAAAGTTGGCCCATAAAAACAAATTATCTGTATTTAATTTCAAACCTTATGCTGGAGATTGTAAGGTCGTCTTTGCTGTTGTGGTACCAGGCGCCTGCCTGTCTCCAACGTAAGACTATCTAGACGTCTAGGTCACTGGGAACTCGAAAATCGACCTGGATACTGAAGTTACGTAATGTATACCCTGCCTTATATAACTTGGTTTCCATTTCTATCAAGTACATGATCCTATACTTGTATGTGTTGTGCATAAACAAATAATATATAAATTAATCATTAATTATTAATGTCCTAAGAAGGTTTGCTCATGCAGAGAAAGTGAAGAATATTGCGGTTTTGATTTTCTGCCTGTGCTTTATAATAATGCTTTTGTCCTTTGTTATATGAACTTCATATGAACACTAGTGAAATATGGGACAAACTTCAGAGATTTTTTTGTTAATTAAAGGCATCCCTGTAAGTAGACATTATTTAACCCTTTGAGTACCATCGTCCTTCCTCCACCTTTTTAGGTGATCTGTCTATACTGTGAACGATGCAATGAAACTATTTTATTTAGTATCGAGAAGTAAATTAATTACAGACAATAATGCGGTAACCGGTGTCCTCGCGGTGTTTGACAGTTTAAATCTTTACTGGTTGACATAGTTCAATAGTTACGACAAATCTGAGAGGTCAATTTTAACTAAAATTCGCTCAGGTCAACGCTCGACCGCAATTCATTAATTAATGTATGTGTAACATACGTAATATACTTGTAATATTACACCTTTTTACGGAGTGAAGGTGACGGAAGTTTACAAACTACTTTTTCCTAGGCTTTAGCACTGCACTTCTTACGAAAACTGGTCCTTGCCATGTATGTAAGTACGTACGTAAGATTTTTTAGATGACCCATTTTTGTCCATCAATAAATCACTCTCCCTATTTCAAGGAAATGTTGACAAATAAGTCCAATCAAAATGATTGATCACTTTATTAATCACATTTTGTAGAACGAACCGGAATGCCCTCAAACAATTTCATTTCATAAAACAAAAAAATACAATGTTTCTCAATCTTGTTTTTTTTTTGTTTTTAGGCAATTGTTTTGTTAGTAAAGTGGTCTCTCAGTCTCAGGGAGAATGGTTAAAATGAAAAAGTGCACTGTTTCTCGCTCACAATAGCTGTTTGAAGCAAAATGAATAAGTGTTGCATTGCATAAAACTGGTCCGTTTGTTGGTCTGCGGTTCGATAACTTTGTGATCAATTATACATATTATTTTTTAAGAGACATTACTCTTAGTTAGAGTGTGGGTGATGTGAAACTTCCAACATTTTTATGTAGGTCCCAAATTCTTTTGACATAATTTTGTAAATTGTTAGCTAGTTTTTATGTTGGATAGAACAAAGTTAGAATATCTTTATTCAGTAAACACTGCTAACTAAAACAGATAATTGAATAACAAACTGATTTCTAATCTACTCAACCTTTACTACGTAAATATTTTTCCCTTTAACAATAGAAAATAACATTAGCAAATCAAATACAAACAAGATTTAGTTACAAGATGGAAAACCCGAAAGATTGAGAGCCGCTTGTTGAAAGCAAAGCATACAGCCTACGCTCAGTACCGCAGTCTGCGCCGGATTCCATAGTCGCGCGGACGTGTCTCTTCCATATTTAAAAAATTAAATATGGTTCTCTAAACGTCAGATCGAATTACCGGTACATTTAAAAAGTTTGAATCAAAAGTAGGAAGGGGTGAGGATAATTAGATTAAGGGAGTGAAGCCTATGAGGTACCCGTCGACCTGCAACGTAAGTTTACTAGACTAACAAGATTTAGTGTTATATCAGTGTGTATCAGTATCTACTGGGAATCAGTGCGAGTGGAGTGTTTCGTTAATAAATTGACAGTTCATCGATAGGGTTGAAACAACCCGATTAAGTGACTTTTCTTTATTGGATTTTTGGTCGTAAAACTGAAGATGGGAGTGTGTATTACAAGCACCCTAGCTATGGACATCAGTCGTAAGTACCTTTTTTAATTTCAAT